CGTTTAAATTTATCATTTTGATTTAAAGAAAAGTCGGCATGGTAGGGCTTGTAATAACTGTTCGGGGATGGCAGTCCTCACCAGCTGTTGGAAAGCAGGCTGGTCCAGGTCACTCTGTAAGGCAAATTCGCTTAAGGCTTTCCACGGAGGCTGATAGGTTTGAACTTCTACAGGATTTCCCTGGACTGTGGTGTCATGTCTAATCGGGCTGCCTGCCACCAGAGGCGTTCCCGTGAGACCCTGAAGATTCTGCAGAAAGGTAGAGGAGATAGATACCTTAGCAACACATATCTATCGTATTTCAGTTTTCAAAGAAGCTTAACACTTCGGGGGGAATTTCATAGATGTTCAGAATCTTTAAAACATCACATCAATATGCGATAATATAGTCTCATCTCATTTTGTAAAGTGTATATTATGAACAACTAAAGTGCTTTAGTGCAGAGATAGATAGATAGATAGATAGATAGATACACAGACAGACAGACTTTTACAACTAAAGGTTCTTTATTGGCATCAGTAGTTCCATGAAGAACCTTTAACATTCATGGAATCATTCTATTGCACAACATGTTGCTTAGTGGAAAAGGTTCTTTAGATTATTAAAATGTTCTTCACACCAAGAAAAAAAATGTTATTTTAAGAATTGTTCACTGAAAGATGGTTCTTATGGCATCGCTTGGAAAACCCAGTTTTGGAAACTGTTTTAAGAGTGTAGGTAGGCATGTAGCTATCGTTCACATGTCAATTTAAAAAATAAACGACAGACGAGAACTAGCCTGATAAGAAGCCGAAAAACCTGTTATGTAACATCAATAACTTTTTTAATCTCCAAAATAGCTTACAGCCAGTTCAATAATAAAGAATAAAATTGGATTCTCTAATAAGGTGCTCCAAAAAAAACATTGAAGAAACTTTATTTGAAGAGTAGCCTACAGAGTCGACACTGAAACAAGTTGAAATTAAACCTGCTTGTAGAGATATTTTTCTGTCATTAGGGTTGCTTGCAAAATGTATATTCCTACCGTTTTGTCGCTGTGTTGCTGTTGCTGTAGTTGTTTCATCAGAATGGACCTCTTCTTGTCTTTGCAGCGTTTGTTTTGAAACCACACTCGTATGACGCGTGGGCTCAGGCCGGTCATTTCCACGAGCTGTTCTTTCATTAGCGCGTCCGGTCGCGGGTTTGCGTTATAACACGTCCGGAGAGTGTGGAGCTGCTTTTCGTTTAATACTGTCCGAATACGCGTGGTCTTCTCAGACTGCTTATGAACGTGGTTCCGGTGAGCTGGCTGTCGAACTGGTACAGGTTCTGCGAATAAAAGGCGTATAAATCACATTTCGGCTTAAGAGGTCATTTCATTATTCAGACACACTGCAGAAGAGCACGCTTGAAGGTTAAATTGTGCATACACACATCGGTCTGTAGCCAAACACCATAGGGCTTTCAATATGCTCTCAACTTTGCTGAATGTGCAAAATGTTCAATGATCGACATAGGGTATAAAAGTATAACATGCAATAAGTGCACCATATTGCAGAGTAATAAGAGGGTTAAGCAGTGACACATAATCGAACAGAATATTTGTAGGCTATGGTTTAATGCTGTTTAAGCTTTAAGTCAGTCAGATATCAAAGCATTAGACAGTTCACCATTTACCCGGGTTATTTTAGTCAAATCATCTAAAGGCTTAAATCTTACGCCTAATCAATAATGTATTTAACGAAAAAAGGGCATTTTCTTTTCAGATCTGATATCTCACCACGCTAACAGCCAACACTTAAAATTCTGTCTATGTAACCGAAGATCGCAATATTACTGCAATTTCTTTTTATTAAAACATAATAAACTAAGAAAAACGCTGTTCAATAGTTGAACGCTGCGGCCATAATTTCAAACCATCATGCCAATAACCGGTTTCAGATTAATTTCAGGTCATGTTAATTCAATCAAGAATATCCTCAAACAATCTCAGCCAGTTGCAAGTCTGCCATCAGGGATTGAAAACAAATATCTTCAAACTGGCCTGCAGGCACAGAACACAAGCTACTCGGTTCCGTCTGTTAACAGTAGTTTCACAAGCTGATTAGCTGTAGCACACAGAATTAAAGACAGGAATCTCACACTGGTAGTAATTGTATTATTTCACAACGACTATAACAACAACGACATTATTATTGTTATTTTATTTATGTATTATTATATATAATATTATGTAATATATAATATGATTATTGTTAATAATATATTAGCCTACTACAGCACCCGGATTATGTAGATTAGGCCTAGTTCCGAGTTCCCGAATATAAATGTGTTACTTAAGCACTGTAATTATTATCATTATTATGATTAATTTTATTAATAATAGTATTATTACTGCTACCTGGGATGTGCAGGGGCCTGTTGGAGTGAATGTTTCCGGGACTGATGGGGCTCCCGGCTGAAGCGCGCTCCATCAGCAGCCCGTGGTCCGCCCGGCAGAGCAGCTCCTCTTCCCGCAGAGAGAACCCATCTCCCGGGAGCAGATGCCTGCTACACACCGAGCATCTGAAACACTCCATGTGATAGACGTTATCCCGGGCCCTCATCACCAGGTCACTGCTGCAGAAACCGATGTTACATTTGGCGCATTTGATCCCGAATAACCTGCGATTTCCAGAAGAAACCTTTTCTTATTTTAGTGTTCGTTTCCAAAATCGTTCATCACGCCTCAGCTTGATAGCTATTACAAGGCCGAGAAACACGGACCGTAAACACAACGATAACTCTTTTCTTAAAGCATTTAATGCATTATAAAAACAGTAATACACATTATAAAACATGCATTTATTCTTTCATGAATATTTGTAAGCACAGTAGGCCTACGCATTTATTTCTGGGCGCAAAGGAGTTTAAAGAGTATACATTCTAACATTGAGTGTCTGACAATTGTTTTGATGCATTAGTCTTTACAGGTATACGTTATAGTTGCTATATCTGAGGTTTCATAGCCTATATATTTATTAGAGCATGCATTTAATATCCTATAATAAGGGTTAGCCTATTAGACAAAATGAACACATTATATTGCATCATCAAGAATACCCTTACAGGCTTTACATAAAGTATTACCAACGGAATTATATTTCTTTACAAAGCAAACTTCAAAACAAAACTGAACAAACACCGGTACTAGAAAATCAACCTAAATCAAACATGACTGTATATATCACTAAATACAGTATAAACCAAACACTCAAGCCATATTTACATGCTTGGAATTTTGCTGAACAAGAATGACAATTTCCGCTAAATATCTTAGCTATTATATTTAGCCTACAATAATATTATATAGCCTACTATAGCATAGCCTAATGTAATAATATAATTGTAATCTATAGGCTACTTTTACCTTCGCAACACCGGCTTTTTATTAGTTAGTTCATGGTAAAAAACGCTATTGCAGAGTTTTCCCATATCTCTAGATCTGTTTGGGTCAGGAATCTGTGAAAAAGAGGGCCTCGACGAAATTCCAAAGCTGTGAAATCACAAATATAGTGTGGCTCGTACCGTACGTAATCTCTCTTGCAATAAATCTTGCCGTCTCGGACGAAGCAAGTGCACGTCTCGTCCAGGTACTGACTGCATTCTGCGCACTTCAGACAGGCTGCGTGCCACTCCAGGTCCGGGGACACTCGCAGGATGTACTGATCATGGATCTGACTTCCACAGCCTACACACATGGCGATTCCAGACTTCTCTGGATGTGGAAAGCAGGGATTAGTGTCCACCGATTGCACCCCTATTCAATCCCGCAAAACACCAGCGTCGTGTAAATATATACAAAAGTATAGGCTACATTAGAGCTCATGTTTCACGCATGGATATGACTTCCACAGCCTACACACATGGCGATTCCAGACTTCTCTGGATGTGGAAAGCAGGGATTAGTGTCCACCGATTGCACCCCTATTCAATCCCGCAAAACACCAGCGTCGTGTAAATATATACAAAAGTATAGGCTACATTAGAGCTCATGTTTCACGCATGCATCCTCGTTTTGAATGTCGCTAGACCACAAAATGTCGATTTGTTCTGTTTTATTTCATTATAATAGTATTGGCTGCACCAAAAACTGTTTGCAAATAAGTCATGCTTTTATTTTATTTTTTTTAATTTAGGACAAAAAAATCATAGCCAAAATTTTATTAATGTAGGCTAATACTAGCTTTTGACATAATACATGTCAGTAGCTACTGTTTGCAAAACGGTGTAACGTAAAATTAATTTTGCATAAACGATATTCTAACTTCTTGTGCAATGACGAAAAACTTGTAAAATAAACATCCAGCACTTACTTTTTGAATGATCCCCCATATCACCCAAGAAAGAAGGACGGGGTAGAATATCCACCATACAGGAGGGTTAAGGCAGAAGGCTACAGATGAGGAAATGGAATGGGAAACTGTCTCGTCCCGAGCTCACTAATAACTTCTGGCCGAAGAGCCTGTGGGAAGAGCAACACACAGACGCGGACTCTGACGTCACCGGGCCCTGACGTCACATGCAAACCTGGACGCACGCTCGCGGAGATCCGACCATGTTTTGAATATTGGATACCGAGGAAATGCAGATCAAACTCACACTTCCGTCTGTCCAAACATAACTGTGAAACAGCACAAAGTAGCTACTGCAGTGAACGAGCAAACACGAAAAGTAGCTGAAATTCATGAAACGGAATGTTTTAAGTTCAGTTTTAAGAACAAGGTGTGTTCAGTCACTGCATGCGAGTGTTTAATGTTACGAACGAACATATTAACGTTAAAGCCTTTTATTTATTTTACAAGTGAAATGTTTTGCGGGTTTAAACTGCATTTGATTAAAGTAGCCTAGTCTATAACATAAAATAAAGATAGAATAAGGTTTTAAAATATATATTAATTCATTTTAAAATAGTCTCCAAAAGTAGCACTTTCTCAAAACAAAGGAACTTACAGATATTTCGTCTTCGTTGCTTTGAAAAATGTCCGTATGGGTAAATCCATATTAATTTAAGTCCATGCGTTCTAGTGAGCCCCCTCCTGGACGTCAAAATAACATCACATATTGTTTGATATGTAATACAGTTCATAATCAGTTACATCTTTGCCATTCCAAGCCTTTGGAGTCTTAAAAAAAAGTATAATTTAGGTAGAAAAGAGTGTAGGCTAATTAACTTTAACAACATTACTAAATTACAGCAGTGCAGAGTAGGCTATTAGAAAAAACTTGGAGTGAGCCTATTAAGGAATTTCGACAGTTTAGTTTGGCTGCGAATAAAACATGTTTCAGATCCGATTAATCTATTGACGCTTCTTGTGCGTAATTAGCCTACCAAATTTACCATCATTGACCTACATGAAATCTAGCCTACATTCTTCGGATAGCCTATATTTAATCGTTTCTGCTTCTACTGAAAATACAGACATTATTTGTCTCCTTAAACGAAACGCACCTTGAATTAAACTCAAAAATTTTATTGCGAATAATTCGTGCTTCTCTCTTAATTAAACTTAAATCTTTTACTCTGTCCATTTTTGTCATATTTGTACTTCGATATAGATAAACACTTCTCCTCCGGCATGTTTAATGTGGATTATGCCTACAGACATATTTTAAAAGCAACCGTAATGAATAATTTCGTTTATTGCACCCTGAAAATGATTCGGACAATCAAAGTCGTGTTGTTAATCCACTCACTCTCAGAGCTTGACCTACAATGCATTTAAAATGTGACCTACATTGCATTTGATATGTTAATATATTAGGTCAGATCCTAAGTAGTATCAGATCCCTGTTATGTCTCAGATTTCTGATGACCTCTGTGGGCTACAGAACAATGTCTGGCTGCACTGCATTACATAGTAACCTCATATCAGTTATTTGGGTGAAAGGGCTGGCCAGATATTTATATCTTACTGTATCAGATTCAGTAGTTAACCAAACCTATTTTTTTCTTTCCAGTCTGGTCTGCTTCAGAGGTTTCAGAGTACTCTGGTAGTTGCCGAGCACAATAATGAGACGCTGACCCCCATCACCCTGAACGCCATCACTGCTGCTACGAAACTCGGCAGTGATGTGTCCTGTTTGGTTGCTGGAACAAACTGTGCAAAGGTATTATCTGTTCAAGCACATTGATTTATGTGTAGCAATTTGAAAGAGTGATTTCAGGGGTCTGATTATGGGTTTCTGGACAGGTTGCAGAGCAGTTGTCCAAAGTTCAAGGGGTGAAGAAAGTTCTGGTAGCTCAACATGAAGCCTACAAAGGTTTATTGCCAGGTAAACCCAACTTAATTTAGTTTTGTTCTTAAATTTCGTAAGTATTTGATTGTTGTACATGGATACTTGTACATTGTACTTTTACATGTACATTCTTTATGGAAGATTTACACAAGTAACTTTGCATAAAGCGTCTGACAGGTGAGGGAAGGAGGTATTGAGTGATTTAAATGAAAAACTTTCTTTCACAGAGGAGCTGACGCCTCTCATCTTGGCAACCCAGAAACAGTTCAGTTTCACACACATCTGTGCGGGAGCTTCAGCTTTCGGAAAGGTAAATCCAAGGCAGAGGTTGAGGACGTTGGGCTGAAAGGGTGACATTCTGTTGTCTTTATCATTTAGCCATCCTGTGTCCTTTACACACTGTGGGAAAAACAACACTGTTGTTAGGTTTTTTAAAGAGGCATCTATATGAGATCGCATGTACTGAACATGCATGTATAATATTAGCATTTTAATTTGCTTTAATCGTAGTTGAAACCTTTTGTCGGCTATTTAAAGTCCATTCAAATGGAGTTAATCAGATGGAACAAATAGGCCTAAAATTGTCAGAGTAAAATAGCAGACTAAATGCATTAAAAAAAGCATGTGTATAACAGTTATGATTTTATTATATCATTATTTTATGGTTTTATTCAACAGTCTATTTTGAACGTTAAAAACAATACTGTGGTTATGCTTTTTATTAGAGAGAACAATTTTATTTTATATCAAATTGAATAAAATGAACATATTTTTGCCTTATCTTTTTTTGTTAAACATTATTTTTTGTTTTACATTTTTTGTGTTTTTTTATTTGATCGTAAACTTTTATCTGATTTTATGAATTTACATTTTTGACTTGAACTTATTTGGCGATGAACATTTATCATATTGAACAAAGCTTCCACATGTTTTTGCCTTGATCTTTTTTGTTTGATGATAAACTTTGTACAAATTGTAAAAATGTCACACTTTGCTTTGATTGTTTTTGTCAGATCAAGCAAATTTGACATACAGGTGCATCTCAATAAATTAGAATGTCGTGGAAAAGTTAATTTATTAACTTTGTGAAACTAGTGTATTAAATTGTGAAACTCGTGTATTAAATAAATTCAATGCACACAGACTGAAGTAGTTTTTGCCTTGTTTGTATTTTTTATCAGATCAAACTAAATTGGTGTATGTATTTTTGCCTTATATTCTTTTATTTGATGACATAATTGACGTAATCTGATGAAATAACTTTTATCAGGCTGTACAAAATTGCCATTTTTAAATTTTATTTTTGCTGATAAATATTGTTCAGATCAAAATGCAAAACAGTTTTTTTTAAAATTTTGCTGAGAAGCTCTTTTTTTGTGATCGTGCCAAATTTACATAGATTTTTCCTTGATCCTTTTTTTATTTTCCACGTGTTCACATCAGTTATTAGTGTAGTTATGCTTTGCTTAATGCAGGATTTTGTGGTTATTTGATTATTTCCCAAAGCGAAAAGCACAAATGGGAAATGGATTAGAAACTCTCATACTGCCGAGCCCCTATCAGGCTTCTTACTTTTGGAATAGTGGGAGAAGTCCGTCCTCAATAAGTGCGGCTCTATTATATGCACGGTTATTTGTCATTCCACAGCCAAACTGTCAGGCAGCAGATCTAATGGTATTTAAATTGAATTGTAATACATTAAACAGTATCTTATGTAGCCTAACCCCAGACCAAAGAGATGTATTAGTCTCAATTTCCTCACTGGCTAAACATATTTTATTTGATGGATTCTTAAGTGGTGGATTTGGTTTCATTATGTCACTATATAAAACACTTGAATTAGCACTATGCAATATTTTTCACCTCCAGACATAACTTAGAGCTCTTTTTCAGACTCAGCGATATTTATTCCGTCTGCGATGCAGGATGGCCAAAGTTTTCAGACATGCGGTGAAACTGGATTTTGATCAATGCCTGCTGAAATAATGCTATTTCCAAACAAATCAAATTTGACCACATCTGTAGATGTGTAGTGGCTTGAACTTAATCCAAGAGCTTCAGATACATCCGTTTGTCTTTAATAAGGGTGTGTGTATCTTTATTTGTAGAATCTCCTTTGATGGATTCTTAAGTGGTGGATTTGGTTTCATTATGTCACTATATGAAACACTTGAATTAGCACTATGCAATATTTTTCACCTCCAGACATAACTTGGAGCTCTTTTTCAGACTCAGCGATATTTATTCCGTCTGCGATGCAGGATGGCCAAAGTTTTCAGACATGCGGTGAAACTGGATTTTGATCAATGCCTGCTGAAATAATGCTATTTCCAAACAAATCAAATTTGACCACATCTGTAGATGTGTAGTGGCTTGAACTTAATCCAAGAGCTTCAGATACATCCGTTTGTCTTTAATAAGGGTGTGTGTATCTTTATTTGTAGAATCTCCTTCCAAGAGTGGCTGCCAAGTTGGATGTGGCTCCTATTTCAGATATCATTGAGATCAAATCTCCAGACACCTTTGTGAGGACCATTTACGCCGGTAAACACAAAAACTAATGCACCAGTAGCACTTCTCAATGAAATGCTTGCTTTAAACCGGTTTGCTTTCAAATAACCTCCCTAGTTTGTTCCATATCCTTCTCGTTGTTTGTGATTTAGGAGTCTGGTCATCGTGCATGGAGACGAGCAATGACTCGCGCTGACTTGAAACAAATCATATATTTTCATTTTTAAATCTAATGGGGGACCCTGGAGCCTTTTTGTCCCACTTTGCATGTATTATTTTTTCTGTTCACCGATTCTCATCCATAAAATCTACTGCAATAAATACTTCCTAATTACTCCGGCCACTTTATCTTTGGCAAGCACAAAGCACTTGTGTAAAAAATATTATTTATGAGACTCTTTTATTTAAATGTTATTTTAAATCAGATATAAATGTTTTTCTTGCGAAACATCAAATGAAAAGTGGTGGTTTGCCACTTGTGGTGATCATTTATGTCCAAGGTTTTCAACCAGGGGATCCTTGAAGGTTCTGTGCATATGATTTCTAATACATTTTCTTAAATTATCTGAAAAGTATTTAAATGGACATTTTATGATGATATGTTTTTCATTATACAATGTAGTAATGTGTATTAATGACCTTAATAAAAGCTATTATATAGTGACAATCTAGCTCCTTTTAACAAAAAATAATCAAGCTTTTTTTATACTGGGAGTCCACCATTAAAAATTAAAACTTGATTTTAAATGTCTTATATTTTTTGTTAATTTAATTTTAATATTTTATTTAAAAAATTTTTTTAAAATTTGTAAAAATTTTATTTGTATGTTTTGCTATTAAGAATATTTCTCGTCATTTCAAACACCTATTTTCCCGTTTTTCGTTCACAGGAAATGCCCTCTGCACAATCAAGTGCAATGAAAGCGTCAAGGTCTTCACCGTTAGAGGCACTTCCTTTGAACCTGCGGCTGTGGAGGGGGGCAGCGCCTCTTCAGAGGAAGGTACGGAGTTGTTTGATAAAGTTAAACATGCTGTTGTTTGTTCATGTTTTGCTTTAAGGTCACGCTGACTTTGATACCACACACAAAGGTTTATAGTATTTAGTGCTGTATATAATCTTCCACTCTGCTGCGAGGTTTTGATGGGCTAGTTTGTTTAAACGTTGGTTTTAAAGGGATCGTAAAGGGCATTTCGGAACAACTCGGCCTGTTTATTTGGACGTCTCCTCACGAGATGTTGTTGCTTTTGCAGTCTCTCCGTCTGCCCCTGTTGGGGTCTCTGAGTGGCTGGAACAAACTCTAACCAAGAGTGACCGTCCAGAACTCACCAGTGCTAAAGTCGTGGTGTCTGGAGGTAAGAACCTCGCACATGAACCACAATCATCCATTGGACATTACAGGAAAGTGTCCTAATATTAACTAATCCATGTTACAGAATGTGTAGTTCACTCCCAAATGCTGATTGGTCAGTGCAGTGTTTCAGCTATGCTATGATAACCTGTTCACCTACCTATATCACTTCACCCTTTTTCAAGCAGAAGAGTCACTAATATCTCTTTTTTTAGTAAGGTACCTCCATATTTTACTGGCCTGTACTGCTTTTAATGTTACTAGACAATGATTTTATCTAGAAATGTTTTTGGTTTTCACCTGGGGAAATTGTATGTGTGTGTGTGTATAAAATTCTTTAGTATTTGATCTATATCTATACACACACACACACATACACGTGTGTGTGTGTGTGTGTGTGTGTGTGTAGATATATCAAATATGAAAAGATTTTATATAATTATCATAATGTTGTATGAAACTTCAATGTATATTGTATTATTGCTTTTTTATTTTTACCATGAATATAGCTTTTTATGATAGATAGATAGATAAATATATAAGTACACGCATACATGTATAAATAAATAAAAACACAGCAGAAGGATACCATGTAATTATTAAAAAAAAATTTTTTTTTAATGAAACATTAAATTTTTTATTGTATTTTTTTATTAGGATATTTTATTCTAAACAACCTGTAGACACAAACTCTTATAATTTATTGCTTTCAGAAAAATAACAACAGTCAATTACAATTATTCATTATAACATTCATTTTGAACCGTATAAGTATTTAATCAAATATTAAATATTAAGTTTGAATTTTACAGAATTATTATAATGTAAGAATTGTACATTGTATATTGTAGTATTATTATTACATTTTTGTCACCTTTTTTAGGCTGGTATGACTAAATAAATTAATAAATTTATAAAAAAAAAAATTTAAATCTAGATATCATGTAATTTGCTTTTCACTGTATTTTATTTACCTAATTGTATTGTAATATTTTATGATAAACAAAGCTTGATTGATTTCTAAAAGCAATAAAGCAGAAACTCTCATATTTTATTGCTTATTCAAAGAAAAATAACATCAATAAATTACAATAAACTGAAACTGCTTTCCACAGAGACTACATCATCTTAGTGTTTACGTTCATTGTTTGTTTGAGCCGTAGGTCATGATGTTGGGTCTTCCCTAGAAATTTCCAGGCATTTTTTTTCTTTGCTCAGAAAATCAATAGTAAACCGAGACGGTATCGATCCTACTGGAGTCATAACCTTGTCAGTAATTTCATATTTTATGCCCATCTGCCGTCATTCTGTCATAACAGGGAGGGGCTTGAAGAACGGCGAGAACTTCAAACTGCTCTACGACCTCGCCGACAAGCTGAACGCAGCCGGTACGCTGTTTGTTTTGTTGATTTTTACTCTAGGTTCTGTTTTAGTGTTCGTGTTTTTATCAAGCTACGTGAATTTAAAATGAAACCACCAAAATGTTCTTGCAGTCGGTGCCTCCAGAGCCGCAGTTGACGCTGGTTATGTCCCCAACGACATGCAGGTTGGACAGACTGGAAAGATTGTGGCTCCTGTAAGTACCGCCGTCAAAAACCAGTTGTCTTATTTCTCCATGTGTCCTACAGTCCATCACATGCACGCTAATTTTCTCAAAGTTACACACCCACCAGCTTTTTAGACTTGATAAACCATCTTGACTTTGAATACAACAACATCTAATTGTTGTTTCTGTTTGAGTCCAGAAAGATGGATCCGTGTTGCCCTTTAAAAAGCGTAATTTTCCATTATCCGCTGCGAGTGGGACCTCCCCGCTGTCGTTATCCACACATTAGCGGAGCTTTGAGGCGTTGTGATGTAGTTAATGGCACATTCCGGCTTCTAAATGATTTACCAGAGCCATTAGTTGAGCCGTGCACCACACAGGTCCGCCCTGAGCTCAAACCGGGCAAATCAGCCCCAAACCCAATTCTCTAAATGTTTTGACAAGCTTGTCAAGCGCAACCCGACTGTTGTGCATTAGTATTCACCCTGAACAAGTCCCGAATGAGTTCTGCCAGTGAAGAGTCCAGTGAAACGAACTTGAGTCAAGATGGATGAGTGTTGTTTTGGGTCGATTGAGTGTGCCTTTTGTGGTTAATCGAAATCTTTTAGCCCTCAGGGTGAGGTTTTGATGATTTGGATTTTTTGCTGCTTTTTTATGTAAAATACATGTTTAAAGATGTGCACCATGATGCTGCAACTACAACTATTTAAGTATGATGTGGAGTTGCTTTCACTGTAGTATAATTGTATATATTATATATAACTACAAGTTTATTAATAATTACAAACCAACATTTGGTCCTGAACTAGCCAGTCCCTAACAGGGTTATTATAGTAAACTAATACCATAAAAAAAAAAAAAAACTTGAAATAAAATACGTTAACTTAAAAAAATAAAATAAAAAAGTAAAATCTAACACCTAGTTTCCAAGATGATATTTCTCCTTTTTGTTTAGTTTAACTTGATGTACTAAAAGAACTAAAGCTACTGTATAATGGAAATAAAAATTTGTAAAAACAATAGACATTAAAAAACAAACAAAAAAACAGAAAAAAAAATCACAAAAACTTTATTAAAAATGATTAAAACTGTAAGTAAAATTAATATGAAAGCAGAAAATCTATTTCAAAACATTAACAAAACTATTTATTTATTTTATTGATTGTATATGATTCAAAGTTTCAAACCAGTATTTAACCTTTAGTTTGCTCTTGTAATAATTTAGTTTAGTTTGTAATATTTAGGGTGCCATTTAACATATTCTGAACCATCTTTCACAGACCATTTGTTGAAAAAAAAAAAAAAATAGCACCGCATAATAGGATTTCAAGACATTCAGGCCGTGTTTTGTGCCCTATTCTTGTAAAGTGCCTACTTCAATAATGTCACGGATTCTGTTTCTTGTGTATTGAAACATTCAGCAAAAAATACATTAGGGCAGGAGTTGATTTGATTGAAACATGAGACGTTAGACTGATATCTTTGGTTAATACTATTTTTCCTCTGCTGTGCAGCCTTTGTTACGTCAACAGAGGTGGAGAAATTACATTTTAAAGAAAGATTTAAAAAAACAACAACAAAAGATTTGAATTTGTTATGAAGTAAATGGGGAGGTGGAGGAGATCAAAGATCATATTGGCTTTTAGATGCTTAGCAACAGTTATCTGATAACTACAAGAAATCCTCAGCAAACTTTTATCCACCACCCACTACAACCTCCTCCATCCTGTGGATACTGAGATATTTGTGGGTCACCATCACTTCAGCCCATCTGAAACACCAGCCCTGCCCTCCTTCCTCTCCCACTGGCTTTTAGTGCTCCGGCCGGCCGCATGTTCGCAAATTGAAGCGGTGGCCCCCGGGAGAGAGCCGCAGCCACATTAAACTGCACTGAAATATTAATGGAGCAGTGCATTAAGCTGAGAGCCACTGATGTACCACTCCCTCGGGACAAGGGTGGAGGCGAGGGGGAGCTCCCTGCCACATCCCCCAAGTGCTCCTCTTTTGAGTAATTGTGAGGATGTTGTGGCCTGTGCTCTGGGACGGGAGGTCAGCAGAGTGCTTCTGTGCCAACGCCGAGATGCTGCCCGGTTTAGCTCAGATTTACAGCTTTAAACATCCTTCATTATTGTATCGTTAGCAACCTGTGACGTGGCTAAATTGCCACTTGTTGAGGGTTTTCAGTCACATTTCTGTATATTATGCAAGCAGGAGTCTAGCTCATGATTTAATTTTAAGCACCAGCCTCATTTAAACCCAGTGCCGTTCATTTTAAGTGCTGCTAATTGAAACATGGCACACCATATTGTTGCCGGGGGCGTCAGCCAATCAGGCTTGTGCATTTATGATTCTGAAAGCATATTAAATGAGCTTCCTGTCACAAGTGATTCATAACTGGCTAGTTTTGCATGTGAAGAGTGAATAATATATTATGTATGTAATATGTTTGTTAGATAAATGAGAGAAATAATTTGATTTGCTTTACATCTCTTAATAATGTTAAATGTTTAGAAATTAAATAATGAAAAATAATGTTTTATTTGATTTTAGTAAATATCATACATGATTAATTGCCAGAATTGATATATAGATAGCTAACATAATACTACTTGATTTTAATTAATATTATTTATGTTTAATCTATTA